CTACCGTGATTTATGCGAGATTCCAGGGACTCTACGTATAAAAAAGAAAACAGAGAAATTCCGCCCAGTGCTCCGCCACCTTTTCCTCGTTCCTACGAAGATATAGAAATTGTCTAAGGATGAGAATGCTTGACATAAAAATCTTGTGCTTTACTCTTTCTCTCTCTCTCTCTTTCTCTTTTACCGTCGGTGAAAATTTTTATGTAAAAATAAATAGAAAAAAGAAAATAGAAGTAATTAGCTAAATGATATCACAAGAACTAATATTAAAAGTTAGAAATCATTGGATAAGTTTCTAAATAGTAATGTAAACGAAATTGTAATTTTTAATAGAGATAAATTGTATATAAAATTACTCTTCCCAAAAATTGAAAGATATATACAAATTATGATCAACTGATTCTGTAACAGCACGTTAATCGCTGATTTAACGTGCATTAAAGGGAAGCAAAAAAGATTACTTCCGCCGCATTGCGGGCTTGGGATATTTATGAGATCATTGGGCTGGTGATCGGGTAGACTAATTGCCAGAACAATGGCGCAATTATACGTCGAATTAATTTATATCTCTGCCGAATCTGCGGCAGAAATTTGCGAACACATACTCGCGCATACATACCTCTCTGTCTCTCCTTTTATAAGAGAGTAGGGAAAGGGAGAAAGAGAGAAAGAGAGAGAAAGGGGGTGGGGGAAGGGAGACCCAGGCAGACATGATGATTGTCATTGCGGCAATCATAGTATTGTCCTGCGGGATCTATCGATCGATTAATTAATTACGGGAGAATGGATACGCAGGTTTGCGGAGTCAATATTGAATTCACGTTAATGCGTTTCGGGAAACCAATGCAGTCTCGCACGGTAATCGTCTCGGGATCCGCTCTCAAGCACGGATCGATCACATTTGGCTTGAGACTTAATGATAAACGATTTTCCTTACGTATCCATAATAATGTCAAATTCAACATTTTGCCATTTCCATACTTCCTTGAAGAAAAATCCTCGAATACTCGGCTACTACAATCCTGACACTTCGAAACGCGTTCTACGATGTTATCGTGCTTTCAAGACTACGGGGGATGTTAATAATAGTCGTTCAGTAAGCATGCTTAAATTTGGAACGTCATGATAATTATGATTTACGTGACTCAATTATACGAGCACGCGCTTACAATACAAATGGATTACTTTCTAACATGCAACAGTACATCCATCTACGATAGTAATAATAATAATAATAATAATAATAATAATAATAATAATAATGAACTTAAAGAAGAAAGAAAAGATACGATTTAGTTTATCTAAAAAACAAAATAGAAAAAAAAAAAAGAAAAAAGAGGAAATAAAGGAAAACTTGTATGCTCTTGGAGTTAAAATAAAAATGAGAAAGAAAGACCATAGTAATTCTAAATACACGTGACAAACAAAACAAACGGCGCGGAATATCTTCCTTTTCCCCGTTGAATTACAACGGTGATATCTTTGATTGATCCGTCGCATTGTTGGCACGTGCGTTAGTGCAAATCATGCAAAGCACCAGAGGTGGTTAGAGAGACAGAGACATGATTTTTCGATTATCCGCCTTCGATGAGAGAAGGAAGAAAAAAAAAACACAACAGCTGGGGAAAGAGGATAGGAAGTAGAAATAAGGGGAGGGAGAGGGAATGGGTTGGGAAAAATGGTAGAACGGGAAAGTGCACTAGCCCGCATTATTTCGTGATGGACGAGCTCGCCGTTCAAAGGGAATGTGATGAATTGAAAAACTGTCATAGGTCTTTCGCGGCAAAATGATGAAAGCTTCCTTCGTGTACGACAATGATGAAACATTTAAAAAATTTTACGCTTCTCTCTTAATGGACACCAAAGTGAACAGTCCGAACAAACGATTCATACTTATAAATAAACGATTAGCTATTTAACAATTTGTATTATAATTTATTGTAAAACGAATTCGCCGATCGAATGAATCGTGTCTCGGGCCATTCTCAAAAGCGGAATAACGAACGGATCAATTCAAGTCTAAGCAATTAAGCGATCGTTTTTTTTTTGTCGAATTATCCTTTGACAAATGAAATCCAGTCGATGGTGATAGCCAACGTGTTTCTTTCCTTCTTTCTCTCTTTCTCTGTCTCTTTCGACTTCCTATTCGGGGTGCAACGAATTCTCTCCCCTTCCACAGGAAAAAGAAAAAGATTGATACGTACGTTTCGTTCGTTCGTGGATCGCCCCGGAAATAGGCTTAACACGAATAAAAAGACAAAGAGGAAGAGGGAAAAGAGAGAAGAAAAAAGTTTTTCGAGCTGAATACTATTGATCAGCGTTCGAAAAACCATCAGAACTCTATATACATGTATCCGATATCAAATCTGTTTTATCCCTACTTCATCTCTTTTATCTTTTCCTTTTTTTCCAAGCTCTGCATACGACGATCGATCGGATAAATCGGGCTTTTTAAAGCTAGTAACACTGATTAAAAGGTTTCGAGGTACGCGCGTATGGCTGATTAAAAGGGGGCGATTATTTTATCCGTAAAGAGAGAGATATATATATATATAGAGAGAGAGAGAAAGGGAGGAGAGAACAAACGCGCGTAAGCGACTTTTTACATTCGAAATCAATTTGCCACGATTTAGACCCAATCAGCGTGTCTCCATTTCCCTTTTCTCTCTCTCCCTCTCTCTCTCTCTCTCTCTCTCCCTTTCTCTCTTTCTCTCTTTCACCCTCCTCTTTATCTTTTGCCTCTCTTTTTATACTTTTATACGTAATTCTGGGTCCACGAACGAACTCGAACGTACTAAATATATACGTGTATAATCCACACCGTTGATCGACGCGTAACATTTATAAATATACATGTATTAAAGATATTCAAGAGTGAAAATGAATGGAGTTAGTAGAATCGATTTTTTGGGGTTAGTAGATACAAAGTTCGAGATATGATTATCGTGTGTATGTAACGTCGATCGTTCGAATGAAAAAAGTATGCTCTGCCCTCTCCAGTCCGGATTGTTTAACGAAAATTCATTAAATATATTATACATTTATGTAAAATGAAATTTATATCTTTACGCGTGACTCTTATTTACAGGCAAAAATCAAGAAATAAAAGAAAAAAAAAAAAAAAAAAAAAGAGAGAAATCGAAATAAATCAATTGACTTTCGACAAATACATAATGTCGCACGAAGTTTCGTGGACACGGCGCGTCCAGTTCGCCGTTTGCTCTTTTCATTTTCCAACGAAAAGGAAGGAATAAACAATTAAGCGCGTAAGCTCAACGAAATGACATATCGCGTCAAAGCAAATTCAATATACAATAATATAGATATACGAATCTTGACAATAATTCTTGCAACTTTGAAATACGTATCATATAATAACGGGGCCCTGCTCAAGAGCATTCTTCTTGCTGCCAGCTGATCGTTTTATGAGATATGATGAAAATATATTGTGACAATAAAAAATCTTCATCTAATAGAGAAGAATGAAGGAAGAAAAAAATTTATATATATATACATATGTGTGGACAGATTAAATTATTATTTAAAATATTTGTTGTTGAGTGAAAAAGAAGAATAAAATAAAAGTTTCAAAAGAAATGGAGAAAAATATTTTTCTACGGTTCGAACTAATTAACAAAATAATTTCGAAGCTTTTGCCAAAAGGCAAAGCTTTTCCACGTAGCCTTATTAAAAAGCTTGTTCATTGCTCGTTTGTTAGAAAAAGTCCCCATGGGTGGACGATCAACCCCCGTGTTCAAGCTCTACCCGTATCGCGGACCATGTATTCGTATAAACAGACACGTCATTGGATATATATACTTCCACGAGTATAGTATATATATATATATATATATAGACTTTGAAAAAGAGAGGAAGATTCGATCGCAAAGCTCATAGGAATACTATTTACTCAGGCAGAATACGCTTGCTTTCTGTCTCTCTCTCCTCATCTTCCTTTTCTATTTTCAGTTCATGCTCCACTTGGCGATTACGCAACGTTAAATCGAGAAATTAAAGAAGAGCAGTGAAATTGCGAGCTACGATATTTTCCGGGTAAAGAGTTCTCGGTAAATTTTACGTAAATGAAGCTTATGTGTGTTTGAGTTTGAGAAACGATGAAAGAAAAAAAGAAAAAAAAAATATAAAAAGAAATTTCAATATTCCGAATGCTCGATGATCATACAATCCGAAAATTATTTTCTTAGTACGATAAACACAGAAAGAATATTATCGATAAAAATATTGATCTGTTCCCGAATTCACGGAACTTCTATTTTCCCGTATTTTTTAAATGTCCAAATAACGAGCACTTAATAGATCGATCACGTGTAGTTTACTTCGTTATATCACTATCGATCGAAAGCAATATATGATAATAGAACTTGTCTCGAAAAAGAGTATGAATAAAAGAACGATCGAGAAAATGCATAGGAATGAAAGAACGACGATGTGTTGCTCAACGTTTCCCTACGAATGATTTAATAAAATTCAGATTGCTCAATATAGCAAAGAAAACGGAAAACATATTTTTTCTTTATTTGTTTTTTTTTTTTTTTTTTTTTTTGAAAACGAACATGAAATGCCAAAATGAATGAAAATACGTATTAGTAAAGTCAGAGAAGTCTCAAGTAAATATTAATTATTCACAATCATCATTTTGTTGGAATATTAAGGAAAGAAATCCCTTAAATTGTTCAATGGATTTCACTCATGAGAATTCAATGTTCGTTGGAACAGAGATTCGTTGTGAATAATGAATTAAAATGAAATTATACAATTATAACAATAGGAAGGGTCGAATGGAATCGATAATAACGAGAGATCGCTAGATTATGAGAAATGCTGAAACAATGAAGCTGTGAAATTTGGAAAAGTAATTTTATTAATGAGAGTTTGCGAGATAATCGTTCTGGCAGCAGGAGTACGCTCGTTTAATCGAGCAGGGCCCACGTATTTAACTCACGGATATTAGAGAGCAGAGGGTGTCGACGTTATCGTACCTTGTCGCCTACCTTCTTCTCCCATTGGAGAACGTAGGGCACTGGGTGCTCACCAGGGAACTCTACATGACAGTTGAAGACAACGCTCTCTCCCAATATAGCCGTTATGTGCACCGCGTCCTGATGACAAAATCCTGGAAAAAAAAAAATATATATATATATATATATGTATATATCTACATTACTATTCGCTTCCATATCAATCTTCAATATTTTTCTCTCTTAAAAAAACAAAATATTTGAAATCCATTATTTATACGCCATTGGAAAAATTTTATCGATGTAATCCAATATTATTTTTACAATAAAAATTCTATGTAAATTCTTTTTTATGCTTAAAGAACATTTAAGTATTTAATTGCTTTTCATCTTTTCTTTTTTTTTTTTTTTTTTTTCTTTTCTTTAGCGGCGGTCTTATATATATCCCATAATTTATTTAAAAATCTTCTGTAAATCCTTAAGTAAGAAACATACATATTATCTTCTAACATGAATGCATCTTATATATTACTGTAGACAGATGTGTCAAATTTACGATAATGTATACCATTCTTTGTTATTTTATGCTTTGGAACTTTCTCTTTCTCTTTTCTTATTCTAAGTATAATATCTTGAACGTTCTTCCGACGATGGTAAAGCAAGCTAGTCGGAGGAATAAATTGAATCCGGTACTCGGTCGGCGCACTTAATGCAATTTGAATGTTCCAAGTTAGAACGTCCAGGTAGAAATACATTCTTCGAAGTTTCCTCGCGTGAAGTTTTGCACCGTTGACTATTGCCAAGAGAAACGCGAGAATCCATGGTTTCTGTCTGTTATACGAAACGTAAAAGTTACTGTTGTTTCATAGAGAGAGAGAGAGAGAGAGAGAGAGAGAGAGAGAGAGAGAGAGAGAGAAATGAATTCGATGAAAGTCTTTTGAAAATACAATATATTCGGGATGAGAAACGAGTGAGATTTATCCTAATGATAATGAGTAACAAATCCAGACTATTTTAATTACTTTTATCTTATTTTGGATGAAAGAAACTTCGTTGAATTTATTACTTTTAGCAGCAGTCGTATTTTACGCATGATCCTTCGTGCTTACGTATTTCTTTTTTTGATTTCATTCGATTTAAGAGACCTCTCGAACAACATTGAGAGATAACTCAGTGAAATTGCGACACCATATGTTTCGCAACTAGCTTTTCCTTCGTAAAGTTATTACCCGGAATTCCATAAAGGGATATAGTTTCCGGAAATGTAGCGTCCACCCTTTGTCCATGAACGAACGTACCTTACAATGTTAGCCTTATGACGTAGCTTAATGCTCGAGAGCTAACTTTCGAAACAAACATGTCTCACGTCGAAAGTTCGGATCAAAGGATTCGCTCTGAACTATACGCGTACCGAAGCATATATATTCTTTCATCCCCGCCACCTTCGATAAGCTGTTACATGAAACCTTAGCAAAATCTGTAGGACAGAGAAAAAAGGAAAATCATGATATATTTCAGGAACGAGGAGTCGTGTCTTAGGGAGACACGACGTAGGTTTCGGTTAGGCGAATAATGGAACCCCAGACATTTCGATGTCATTTCCTTTGACGTTGATACGTGGTTTGGGAAGAGTGAAGATGCATTTTGCATGCGATTATTTTCAACGAAGTAAGCTCGTCCGATCGATCTTTTCCAAAGCTTCCGCGATGCTTATGCAAAATGGTAGTCGTTTCGCGTTTCGTTGAATATACACGGCGATGTCTCAATTTTTCCACGTGTTTCATAACAAAATATAACGATACGATTTTATAATAATAATAGAACTTTCTAGCCGTGCGTTCGAAAAATATCACCCTCGAATACATCAAAGAATTTTCTTTCATCTACTCGCTTGATATCTTTCGGAACGGAAATGAGATGAAATAATCGTAAGTTACAATATTCGTGAGAGAAAGGAGAATGAAAAGAAAAATGGTAGATAGGACGAAACTTTCTTTTCTTCTATCACAGATCCTAACGAAAATAAAAATGAGTATTTTAAAAGAAAACTCCTGAGAGGCATTACCGACTTTTCTTTTCTCTCTTTCTTTCTCTCTCTCTCTCTCTCTTTCTCTCTCTCTCCATATTTTTTATTATCTATCGAATGCAAAGTGTCTGAAATGCGAATTTTCTCCAAGTTTTAATTCAGGACATTCTATCCTTTACAGAATCAAACAGTATTAATAAAAATCTCAATTTCCTTCCTAAGTAAAACTTTTATGATGACAATTCGGCCAATTACTCATCAGAAGATTAACGATAATACGGTTCATAGCATTGGTATTATAGAGAGAATACGTTTGATCGTGCGTTAGTTTCAATCGTAAGAAGGTAAAGCTCGTCTCACCATAGTCGATCTCGTTTACTTCTCGCGCCTTTGAACGGCGATCTATCGGATAACTCTGCGGTGAGAGCAAGCTCGTGGAAAGCCAACTGGAAATACCTTTCATCTGAAGCTGCTTGAGCGTCCAAGAAGTCTTCTCTCCTTCTCCCTTTCCTCTCGCAGATTCCACGCTTATCTACATCCTAAGATAGGTACATACATACATAACGTCGATGTTAGTACGTCCTTTAAATCGCTTTCGCGTTTATCCCCTCTCCCATTTCCTCGAAATAGTTTTGCTTTTCCCCTTTTAGATACGAAAACCGATGTCCGCTTGCTTCAAAGCCACTATCCCTAGAAGCTAGTTTGCCCTCCCTGTTTGTTTTACCATTGGCGATACTTCAAAGTTGTACGTCTCGTATCGTCCATCTCGTTCGTCGAATCGAGAAACGAACGCAGTGTGTACCTTACTTAATGCTCGATATTAAGCCTTTGACGAGAACACGTGTTCTGATTAATTCTCTATCTATAACGAAAATAATATATTTTTTATTTATCACTTTCAAAAATTATCCATTGTATAAACTAAATAGTCATTAAGAACTTGTAATCTTATTCGTTGTTTATGATTTATTTTATGAAACGAGATTCGTTGTTCATGATTATTCTATGGTAATAAGAAATTTGCTGGTTCATATTGGGATGCATTAAAATCAGGAAGCTGTGGTAGAAGGTTTGTTAATTAACCAAACGCAAAGACATTATAATGAAATATGAAAAAATATCACGGTAATGTTGCACGATGTAAAATGCATATGCTTGAGTTCATCGAATCTCTCTCTCTCTCTCTCTCTCTCTCTCTCTTTTTCTCTCTCTTTGCAGTTGCTTTTACAGAAAAAGAGAAGAAGAAGAAGAAGAAGAAGAAGGACAGGCAAGAAAGACCCTCGAACATTTTACCAGCCAAATTTTCAAGCAGCGACGAAGCATGAAATTAACGAGACGTTGCATCGGATCTTTCGCTCTCTCTCTCTCTCTCTCTCTCTCTTTCGCACGTGAGTACACCACGACTGGCGTAAGTTAAATAGTTAAAGCACCTGTTTAAGGCTGCTTCGCTTTTGCCGGTAACGCTATGCTTCTACGCGCGGTTGAACCATGCCCGAGAGGAGAATAACGCAGACCAGGCTAAAAGCAATTAACCGATACTAACGAGTATTCCACAGCCCTTATATTCTGAAGACTCGAGAATTGATATTAATTATTTAGAAAGTGGTAAGCGGATATTTTCAAAGTCGAGATCTGAAGGCAAAGAAAATTGTTAGTTTTTAATTAAATCGAAAGACAAATATCCATTGTACTCGACTATTAAGCAATTAAAAGAAATATTTTTGAAATGATATTAATGCTATTTATAACATTGCAATTGTGATCAAACATCGGCGATTTAATTTTCCTGCAAACCGCTCCTTTAATAATTTTTCGATACGACCGATGTTTATTACCGTCATTACCATGATTCTCCTCGTGGAACGTCATCTGTGCAATGTTGCTCGGTCTCGCCAACCATCTGTGCGATGATCACGACCAATACCATAATCATTCTACGTATTTTCAAGTAACGACCCAAAGTTATCGGATATTTTAAACGACGATACTCTTTTCCCGATGATTAATTGCAGTTTTAAGAGCGAGGATGATTCATAGAACTTATCGCGATGCAGTTGCTATTTTAAGCGAAGATCACGAAGTTGTAAACTTCTCGTAAAGGTCGTTAAGATTCATGGAAAAAAAAATTTATGATCGTTTAATGTTAAAAGAAAAAGAAAATTTTCTACAGTAATCATCGTAGGGTCAATCGATTTACATTATTAATTTTCAAGACAAAATTTTTTCCGTCTTTTTTTTATTTATTATTATTATTATTATTATTATTATTATTATTATTATTATTATTATTATTATTATTATTATTATTATCATATAACACTGATTTATTCAACAAGATTTCAACAAGAAGGGAAATATAAAATTTCCTTTTCGAAAGTAACTGTCTCGATTTCACCTTTTCTAGGAAGAAATTACTCGATTCGACGATTTTACGTGAATTTAAAAGATATTACGAGAGCAGAGAGCGAACGGAAAAGGCGAACGACGCTCCGTGAATTCCGGGTGAAAATAATTGGGAAATAAATAAATTACGAGCGTTAGGCGGCAAAGTTTTGGTAAAACGGCGACGACGTGGTATGGTAAAGGAAGGGAGGGGAAATAATGCCGCACAAGCGGCGATCACAATGGCCGCTTTACACCCATGCCCCAACTTAGGAAACTTTCTATATTAAACAACTTTTCCGCTAATTTTGCTATTCTCTTTTTTCGTCATTTTCTCGTATTTTCCGTTTCACCCTCAGCCCACTTTCTTCTTCTTCTTCTTCTTCTTCTTCTTCTTCTTCTTCTTCTTCTTATTCTTCTTTTGCTACACGCCTCCGGTCCACTTCAATTTTTCTCTCTTTTTCTTTCGTTCTCTTCTGTACCGTTTACAGCGTTTCTCGGTAATTTTGTTCCTCCCTCTCTCTCTCTCTCTCTCTCTCTCTCTTTTATTTTTTCTTTTTTTTTTTTTTTTAATACTGCTCTTGTGCACAGCGTGCCGCTATAAAAACGTCTGCTATCGTGGGCGGAAGCTCGAAACTTCTCACGTTCAACTTTCCCGCCGTTTTAATTACCAAAGTACTATTCACTCGAATCTTTAAGGAAAAATATAAGAAAGTAATAAATCGATGCTATCGAATCATATAAAATTAATTATTATCTCATAAGAATATCTTTTCTAGCAACGATTTAATTATTTCTTATAAGATGTTTTTCCATTGAATTTAATTATGTTCTTAAAATATGTTTTCGTAACGATGTTAAATGTCACTTACTTAAACGCAAAGATACTCATTAGAATGTTGCGACATTTATTAAGACTTTCAAATCCATTCTCTCTTGATCCTTTGTAAAACTAATGGAATATAATTAACATGTAATTGTGACAAATTTTATTATATTAAGTCCAATAACGTGTATCGAATAAACACATATGTATAAATATTCGAAAGTAATTAGTCGTCAATGCAATCGAATAATTATAAATCTTTTCATATTTCGTCTCACATTTATTTATCCTCGAAAAATTATAAAGAAAACTCGAATAATCCAACTGGACGTACGTACGAGCACGTATTAATACGCATACATGTAAATACGAATATACAAAGATTTGCGTCTCCTGCATCTGTTATTTACAGCATATAATTATGACAATCTCTTTTTAAGGGAGATTTAATAAACCTGCTCTCATTAACGATACCAACGAGGATAACAAGTGCGACACAGCCAAGATTGCTGTGCTTTATCCGTTAACTATGTATAATAACATACACGAGCATGAACTAAAAAAAAAAAGAAAAAAAAAAAAAAGAGAAAAAAAAAAATAAGAGAAGTAGATGAAACGACCGACGCTTTGATGCATTTCAAAGTACTTCCAAGAGATATAAAAGTGATATTAAATTCGATAATTACGTTCGTATGGTGTGGTCGTACACAGACTGAAAACAGTTGTTGACGATACTTTTTGTTTCTTATACGGCTAATAATAGTATCGATAAAATATTCGATAATTTCGTTAGTTAACTATTAACTATTAATAATTATACTTCTTTTACTTTACACCTATAATCATTGCGATCATACTTATATACCTATAAATGATTCTTCCTTTTTTCTTTTATCCTTTCTTTTATCAATTAAAATATATTCTCTCAAAAGGATAACGTCACATAACTTCAAGAGAAATCATAACAAAGTAATCGCGCTTAATGGAAAATTCTTAAGAGAAAATGTAATTCCAATTAGGCGTTTCAACGTTAGAAGAGGATTATTAATAAAGATAATTAAAGATGGTAATCTCTTTGAAAAAAAAAGAAAGTAAGATGTCATCCCGTTCTAATTAAATATCTTACGTTATTCACGAAAAAAAGGAAGTAATCGAAATGACAAAGATTCATTATATCGATCGTCGAATTTAATATCAAAATGTCATTCAAATTTTTCTATTATTTAACTATAGCATTTATCATGAAAAAATTATTGCTTACGTTATAACAAATATACATAAACGTTTCTTATTAATATTAAAAATCTTTTAGATTCTTACACAAAAATCACGTCTTTTCAGTTCGATCGTTAGGCCGTTGAAAGAAAGTCATTTTCTCGTCCGATTTTGAGGATAAATCAAAAAGAAAGATAGAGAAAGAAGGAGAAAGAGAGAGAGAGAGAGGAAGTAAAAAAAACGAAGTCCTCCTCAAAATTGTTCAGACTCGTCGAAAAACTGCTTCGCCGGGTAGGACGGATGCTATCAAAGCGAATTCAACGCTGCAAAAGAGTTCAAAGTCCCGTTCTCCCTTTCTCTCTCTCTCTCTCTCTCTCTCTCTCTCTCTCTCTCTTTCTCTTTCTCTTTCTTTTTTTCTTTCTCTTTTCTCGCAATAGGAGACCCATTCACGCTCTTGGGTGTGTAGCGTCGGACGGAAGCTCTTTCAAATTGAAATTCGTATAACGCGTCACTCGTTCTACCGCAAAGACACGTTTGAGTCTTGTGAAGTAAAGAATGCCGCAGTGTCGTATCTAAGCGCGTCCTAATAGTTTTCTAGAGACACCAACGGTGAATATAAAAGTCAAGATGTTTCTCTTGCTTATCGTTGATAGCTTACAACTTTCTCATATATTTAAAAAAAAATTTCATCTCTTGATAGAGATTGGGAAAGATTTTTCTTATTCCAACCGAAGATTCGAAATGAACGTGAACGTTGAGAATCAGAATGTAGGATATATCTTGAATCGTAATTAATTATCGGTTAATTGGACACATAAGTACCATTGGGCTGGTATGTAATCCACAGTTATAAGTCACCTCGCTCTAAATTGACATCGTTACGATTCCGACTTCAGCGTATCTGTGCACAGTACACTGAATTCGGAATCGATCTATCAGTTCTACTCGAGAGACCATGGGGTACCTATCAGTTTGGTCGGAGAAACCTAAATTATCTAACGAGATGGATACTAATCGATGATACTAATTTTACGAGAAAATCGAAATAGCTGAGGTACTATATAATAATGGATGAGAATATATATAATAAATGGATTAGACGTTGTCAATAGAAAACGAGCTGTTAGAAACAATTAATTTCAATAGTATAGTAAACTTATTAGAGTTTTACTAATTGAAAAACAAAAAAAGTATTATAAATCGCAAATCTTTTCGAGATTACGAATGACAAATTGAGAAAAATATTTTACAATTCTAATGAAAATTTTCTTTACGAATTTTGTCAGAGATTAATAATTAAAAATATAAAAGTAATTAGTAATTAATCGAATAAATTTTACCTGGTGTGACGAGGAGCACGATCCCCAATAGTAAAGTCCTTGTTGCCACTTCCGCAATCCGCCGGAAGTCCCTGCGACACCATCGCAGTCGTTGTTTCCTCTCACCTTCCCCTTCCGTCGTCGCTTCCGCCTCATTCTCGATGCGGTCAAAACTTTTCGTGGAAAACCTCAGCTTCCCGTGGAAGGAGCCATCGGATCTTATTACACGCCTCAAAATTCTTCTCTCTTCCGTATCCTCCTCTTTCTCTCGACGTTTATACGTCCGGGAACCTGTACACGTTGGCTGGCCGGAAACGAGAATCGCTCCGAACTCAGCCCTTTTAAAAAAAACATTTACCATACCATATCTATAAAGGTATCGATTTATATGATTTATTTTCTCATGACAAATATTTGAATAAACAAACACCCAAAGATTATTATTACATCAAAATGAAATATATGCATTTTGTTGTTTGCCATTATTATTATTAATTTAAAAAGGAAAAGTTATACGCCTTGAAAAATTGTCTGTACACTTCTGTAAATAACTGTAAATAATTATGCGCTTGTATCCTTTGTAATTAAACGCTCAACGCGATTCCGCAAACTCGAGTACACTGGTGATTTGTGGTCTTGCAATACGTACGATCGGTGATATCGATTGGTAATACCTCGTTCTAACGAGATTCACTAACTCCATGTGACAAAGTATACGCTTGATAATTAATACCGATTAGCATAATCATTAAACGTGTAACTATTTATCCTTTTGTAATTAATTACAACATTCTCGATCGACTACAAAACTAATAAAATGTATTTGTTGAATTGTGATTACAAATAGGATATCTCCAATATTTATGTAACTACATATCTATTATTAGAAATGTTAATTACGTATTTCAAAAATTATATAGAAGAAAATAACAAAGTAGTCGGTTAGTTTTAGTTCGTTTTTAAAAAAAGAAGTGATGATCATTGCTTCGAATAATGTTCGTTGGTTCACATTATTATTTCGTTGCGCTTCACTTACTTGTCCTCATCCTCGCAAGTGCCATTCTCCGCAGGTACGTAAAAACCATCTTGCCTTAGGGTAAGAGGATTCTCAGAAGAATTTCGTTCGCAAGACTGGGACTCGAGCCTTCGCCGGAGGTCCGTGGCTTGTAGCCCTCCTCCGCCCCCCATACCCCCGCTCCCATAGTATCTACGATCACAAACACGATTCGTGAAGAGGTTAGATCACTTAGAGCGTGTTTACTCGACCATTCGTCCGTTCGATATTGCGTCGTTAGCGAAACTAGAGACGATCGATTTTATGTACAAAAATTCCAACCACGTAATATCATTTGCGTATTGTAAACATAGTATGTCACCTTGTCAAAGATTTTATGTCGAGTTATTTATTTACTTTATATATATATATATATATAATTTGCGAATATATTTTTGATATAAAAATATTATTTTAACGAAGAAATCTTATTTATTTTAATGATTCTTATAAAATATTCTAATACATATATCGAGTTCTATTAATGGTTAATAAAATGTCGTACGCGCGGAGGAGGTTGATAAACCTCAGAACGGATAAAGGAAAACGAAATCGGATAATCGGTCTTTTATTATCCAACTCAAGGACTGCTTGCATCGAGTAAAGACCAAACGATCCTCGTATTCGATGCGATTGAGAAACTAAAGAAAGATTTTTACGTCTTCTCACGAACGAGTTTACTTGACTCCACTTAAAAGCCATCGAAATTCGATGGGTATTGTCGATAGCATCGTATCTTATCTCCTTCATCGTCTCACTTTCCAATCGGAAAATGAGATTCCCATTGGAATCGTTTCTCTTTAAATCGAACATCGGTCTACGCGAATCGATATAGCTTTTTGAAATCGAGATAAAGGCTATCATCACTATATTTCGTGTTAAATAAGTCGTCGAATGATTTGAACAACTTCAAAAGAGATAATTGCGAGAGTAAAAAGATTCGTATCTTTTTTATATTAATTAGTATATCGATGTTATAATGATTTGTCAATCAATGAAAAAAATTTACAATTATAAAAATTATAATGAACGGGCGAATAATTTTTTACATTCATTTTATATCGATCGTTCTAATTACAATCAAATTTCGAAGAACATTATAATAGTAACTGAGAATAATTAAAAGAGATACGTTACCCCTGCCGCTCCGCCGCCACTACCGCTCTCCGGATCGCCCGCCTCGTTTGCCGATTTTCACGATCCTCCTCGCCACTTCCAGCTTCTCCTCGAGAGCCACCTTAACCACTGTAGCGTGTTGCTATCATCACCTGAAACGAGCGAGATATTGCAATGGTTTAATGGCGTTCTGCATGACAATATACGCCCGACGGGATATACATTTTATGGCTAATGTTACAACCACGGAATATAACGCAAACGCCCGCGCATGCGTAACCCCTTTATCTCGCCGAATTTTCCGAGTAACGTGGCTTTAAACGATACTCTTGTGTTACCTATACATGTAAATATATATCTATATGCATATGTATACGCGCGTGGGCGTACTAAAAGAGGTTGCTTTGAAATCGAGTCGCATAAAATGAATTCTCTCTCTCTCTCACTCTCTCTTTCTCTCTCTCTCTCTCTCTCTCTCTCTGTTTCTCTTTCCGGATAAGGCAAAGATCAATGTAGCTCTTTCTTATATATCAACGACGATACCAAGACCATTGAGAGATATTGAATTGGTATAAAAAATCTCGCGTTGAAATCATCAAATAAAATGATATTCTGATTGTAGTTTTTTGAAACGACTAAAGATCAAAAAGCATACGGTGAAAGTCTCGAGATTTTTGAATCATAACGATTATATCGCTGTCGACATTATTATCTCAAGTGTTATTCATACGTTGGTTAAGAGATACATAAACATATCGTTCTACTTTACGATTAATTTTCTCTTCGAATACGAAAGAAATATTGTCGTCCTTTGTTGTGCCAAATCTCATTCTAATATTTCAAAAGATTTATTCAATTATATTTAAATCATCTCACAAAACTTACAACTTGTCCAAAGCTTATGTAACTCAAAGTAAATAATCTTAACTAGTCATAGAACCCTTCAACGAACTACCATCTGCATTGTTAAAACAACGATAGTTTCAATGCGAAGGAAAAGTTTAAATTGCATCAATTGCGGTGAAAGCCTTCGCTCTCGAGCACGATCGAGACTCGTGGAATTCCCTTCGTGCCGTCGACGGTGATTCGACGTAGTAGAAACGTGAATCGAATCGATTAGTAGTAGCTTGCACGTGTTCGTGAAAGAAAGAAAAAGAGGAGGGAGGGAGGAAGAAAGGAAACGAGAAACGATCGAATCAATTTAGATTTAAGGGAGAAAGAAGAGTGATTGTTAAACCATCGTCATAATTGTAACCCCATTCCACTATTCGCAATGGTATCGTGTGATTCAATGATAATAATGATAGAGAAGTATATAATTAGCCTATCGAGAAAGTAATCCCTTCATTTCTTTCGTCGAAACGATCGTCGAATTAACCGAAGATATAAAGGGATATTAAAAATGAAGATAAAAATTTTAAACGAAGAGAAAGATATTTTATTAGAATTTAGTTCGTTCGTGTTTCAAACGAAAAAGTATCAGTTAAACCTGATAAGTATTATTACAACGTCGTAATAAATAATTCAAAAAAAGGTAATCGATGATTTTCTACGTTTCTTCGATGATCCTTAAAGAGCTCTTGCCCGAGTTAGGAATATCTAATCTAGATAAGTGTTAGTTTATTCCTAAGAAACATGTCTACCTAACGTTTACGAGCGTGTCGATAGTAAAGCACCGATCCTGGCAATGTTCTAACCAAGTGTCTACTGCCTATAAGGACTCCCGCGGTGATTGACTAAAGTCAACGACCATCGAGGATGGAAAGGAAAGAGAATTCTCCTTGGAGTAGTGCGATTAACAGTCGTTGTGAAATTTATGATCAAAAAGTAAAAGGCAGGAAATTTGAAAGGAAATAAAAAAGGATTTTACGATAACGGCGCAGTAAATTGTCACGCACGATGTTTCGTTTTTTTTTATTTTTTTTTGTTTTTTTTTTTTCTATTTATTTTTCAATTTCTTTTTAATTTTTTTTTTATAGAAGCTTCAAATAGAGAGTCAAAATACTTTGACAAAGCAATACTGGTAGAGTACTTCGTTACGGTGTATGGTATTCTCTGAACGTAAATGTCTAATGTTTTATAATACCAGATCAGAACGAACATTGTTTGCAAAGGAACAAAGGTGTCATAAGATCCAATAAACTCAACGCGTTTGACGTGCTCAAAAGATATGTCGGAAAGTAATAAAAAGAATCATGAAATAGAAAAGCTTTTTTCGATCTCTAATTTTATTTCCTTCCATCGTTCCCATCATTCATTCCACGTTCCAATAAAAACATCAATTTCGTTGAAATCTATTCGAATACCATGGGGTCGTGGAAAAAAGAAAGAAAGAAAAAAAAAAAAAAAGAAAACATTATTGCAAGTCATAAAAGTCAACGCTAGTAATAGTAGACAGACAGGAATATTCCGAGTGGAGTTTTCGAGGATCGAGTATCGGATAACTACTCGTCTTTATCACCGTTATCACTCTTGGCGTAAAGTCACGTTTTAGTGGCCCACGGTCAAACTATCCTAAGCCCAGATGCTAGTCGGCTGGAGGTACTTCTTCCCTCACAATTGAGTCGAATGAACTGGCTATAAGGTGTGAGATTATCTCTCTATTTCCCTTTCTCTCTCTCCCTCTCTCTCTCTTTCACTATATACTAACATACATGTATGTACATATATATATATATATATATATATATATATATATATGTAGATAGAAGTCAACATGAGAGTAGATAGATGTGTATGTACGCGCATATCCGTGATAGCTGGTTTATACTCAGAGAGCCGTCAGCACCTCAGCAAGAAGGGATGATACGAGTGAGAGAGGGAGAAGGAAGCACAGTGCTAATAGAAGGTGCAGAGAGCGAACTGTTTGAACAATGGCACATGTCTCCCGTGCAATTGCGCACCGCCAAACGGGCCACGACACCGGCTGTCATAACCCGTCTTCGTGTTCCTCGGTTATTAGCATCGAGCCGGTGGGATTGACCAATTTCTCTCACGGTATCTCTTGCATATCGTAATCCGAATTTCTGATTAGCCAAATAAGTTCTAACTTTTTAATCCTTTTACGTATTTTTCCTATTAAAATTTTCTTTTCTTATAATATATAATTCGTTGAAAAGATATTTTAATATCGATTTGTTAAGTTATTGATCATAATCGTTTAAATAAATCAAAATAAACTCGTTTGAAAGAACCGTTAAATGACAGGAAATGCTTGTTGTAAAAGGCAACCAGGTGTCGAGGACGAATATTAACGATGGTTAAGAACAGACTCCTCTGTAATTACGTAAATTACTGTGAGCGTAATTGAAAGGGAATCCTAATGAACGTACGGGCTCGTATCGCGACTGTATCTGTTCTTAACTGTGATTACTTCTGAATGAAGAAGAAGGTAATTGGAAAGTAGAAATTACTCTTACGTAGTACTCATGTTCGAAGCATTTTTATCTATTTTCTATGCTTCTATGCCAAAATGTACCATATAATTATAACTTTAAGATACAAGAATTCTCAGAAATTATTGTTAAAATCAAATGAAATTTTACATAATACATAAAGTGGGGGACACTTAACGCTTGAAAAGAAGATACTATAGTTTTAAGAAACACTTTCTAAAAGTATAAGGAACGGTTCTCGAGGACATCTTTTTAAGGTAGAGTCTTAACAAGAACTTTAACAAGACGGTCAAGAATTACGCATGCAATCACGACTTTGTTTGTCCACGTTCTATTTCACTCGGACAAGCTTGGTCATTCAGAAGAAAAAACTCGTCCACTCAACTTTTTAAGAGAAGGTAGAACATTAATGGTAACCTTGGACTCGTCCCCGAGTTTTAAATCGTCGATGTCAAAAAACTAAGCTCTATGAAAGAACAGAAAGAAAGAGGAAATGACAAAAAAGGATTCATCAAAGAAGATGTCACAAAAGACGACGATGTCGCAGGCGAAGTCAGGTGACATTTCATCGCACCCAAATATTCCCTAGATATGCAACACGTAGATGATTTTTTTAAAATAAGACTCTCGTTGAATCGGTCACCGTACTCCTTTAATATATATATCAACGGTTCTCTGCTTCATTATATAGATTCTCTTCCCTTCTATCCTTCTCTAATCTCTCTCGTGCGCGCGCATGTCTCAACGTAGACCATCTAGAGGCCTTTCAGCTTCCATAACCACCGAGCGTCTATCCGTCACGAAATCTGTTTGAACGTCCTCCTGGCACGATGATGAGGATGTTAATTATTACCGTCAAGGTTCACCCTAACTACGAACAGAGAGAGAGAGAGAGAGAGAGAGAGAGAGATCTACTAGTAGCGCGCTGAAATTCCGGGATGAAAGGGAAGGAAGGCGAGGTCACTCGATAGCATTGCTGATGATTCTTACCGAACAAAGTTCAAAGAGAGTTCCTTCTTGATAAAAGATTCATATTGGGACACGTGTCACGTTTTCTTTGAAAAAAACTTTATCTTCAAAACTTTAACAAAATTCTCTATTTAACAGATTTCTTCTAATCATTTTATTAAAAATAGATATCTTTAGAAATTTGTAATCAGATAATGATCATTAAAATATTTCAATGTACGGTCGATTTATTCTTAGAGCCAAAAACTTTACTTTAGTTTAAACTGCCTATCAGGAATGAACCAGCGTTCATAATCACGTTATACCCACATGGATACGGAATCCGCTTTGGCCAGCACCCTTCATTCTCGTCGCTTCATCGAAGATGCAGATTCGCTAAAGATTTAATTATTCAATCTCAATTAAATCTCCTCGTCCTCTCTCTCTCTCTCTCTCTCTCTCTCTCTCTATCTATCTCTCTCTCTCTCTATCTATCTCTATCTATCTATCTATCTCTATCTATCTATCTATCTATCTATCTACCTATCTCTATCTATCTATCTCTATCTATCTATCTCTATCTATCTCTATCTATCTTGCTCAACTTCTCTGTTCCTCTCTACAATTAATCCTATTATGTACTGGTCAACATCGACGTAGAGAACTCTTCTACTTTGCGCGTCCCTTACTTTAACCCGTTAAACGGATTGCTCCGTTGGTGTACGTATTTATTTGATCTTCTTCCTCGCACTATCAGAGTTTTTCTTTCACGTGAATTTTGAATTAGGAACAATGCTCTTTTGATGATT